AAACCATTTAATTGGTTGTATTTTGGTAAAGTTTAGCACTGGTTCCATCCTAGCTTGTTTCCCGATTTGGTCATTTCTGATCTTGTCCTTTCTTTTTACATATAGAACTAATCTCAAACATTTCATTTCTGTTGTTTCCATGTTTCCTTTTCCTTGTGTTGTTAGTGATCACTTTGGCACTGGTATCATAATATTATGGTAACACAATAATGGTTAAAAGAAAAATGTGTTTTTTTAATAGAGCTAATGCATTATGTCACCAAAATGTCTAATTTTGTGGTTATTGGCTAGTGAGCTGAAATGTATCATTTAATATAGTGAAGCCTTTCATTTATTTCATACCTGCCGGCTCAAAGCTCTTGGGTTCAAATCTATATCATGTCAGTTTTTCTTTTTTTAAATTCACAATCGACCCAGCCTAAAATGGGTACCGGGTAATGTCCTGAAAAGTAAAGGCAACTGACGTTATGATGATGTTATGAGTGCCAGTTGGTACCCAACAAATATGAATCCAGCATCAAATGCTGAATGCACCACTGTCGTAAAAGTGATACTTTACTCTTTTTTTTTCTTTTTAAATTAGCATTTGTTAGATATTCGATTACCTTTAGCCAGTTGGTACCCAACAAATATGAATCCAGCATCAAATGCTGAATGCACCACTGTCGTAAAAGTGATACTTTACTCTTTTTTTTTCTTTTTAAATTAGCATTTGTTAGATATTCGATTACCTTTAGCCAGTTGGTACCCAACAAATATGAATCCAGCATCAAATGCTGAATGCACCACTGTCGTAAAAGTGATACTTTACTCTTTTTTTTTTCTTTTTAAATTAGCATTTGTTAGATATTCGATTACCTTTAGCTTCCTTAAATGATCCTTTTTTTTTTATTACCGGTATTTTTTAAAGCTACTGACTGTAAACTAATTTTATCTATCAAACCAAATTGTATTTAATATTTCTCTGATGAAACATAAATTTTAATTCATTTTTATTTCCCCTTTTAAACTAATTTAATTGTTTACTTTGTGACAGATAACAGAATTTTGGAAACAGTTAGCCTGGCCAGATCGTGTTGGTGCCTACCCATTTGTTTACAAGCTCACAGAGGTCAGCATTTTTTTAAAACATAGTTTAGATATTACTTCTGGTATTTGACAGTTGTATCAAACATGTTAATATTTGCTATATTACCTATAGGCCAGGAAACCTAATAAGTGCAAAATCTTCCTGTTCAAGGGATAACCAAATGGCCCTGTCTTTAAAATCTGCAAGGTTTAACAATGTTTTTTAATATGTTTGTTGCATTCAACAATGTAAAAAAATGTAATAAGTCATTCACAGTCAACAGATTAGTGAGAGATTATTGTAATATTCATAAGTGATTCTGTTTTTTAAAAAAACATGTCTCACACATCTGGACAACAAAAATTAAATAATAAAAAAAAAAAAAAGAATAATGAACACACCTTGGGAGAGAACTAATTATTCCGTGATAGACATTTTATATTATTCACACTTTTTAATGACATGAAGTACTATCCATGCCAGACATGGTCAATCCTAGAAAAAGTAAATGCAAAATTACAACATGTGAGATAAGAAATACACTGGGAAAAACAAGAAGAGACAGTGTCAACGTAGAAGAAATAAGAACAATGGTAGGCATGGTACCTGTAAACGATTTCAAAGGACACCAAATAATAAAATGGTTCAGCCATCTAGTCTGAACAGAACTAAATCAACCAGCAGCTGGAGTCTACTATATGAGAACAGATTCCCGTGTGGGTTCCAGGACCCCATTATGGGCAGAACAAGAATAGACCCACTGCCTCCCCAACAAGCATGTCATAAGAGTCGACTAATTGGGGGTTTCCTTCGAACTGGAGTACGTCTGCCTTAGAGGCAAGGAACCAACAGTCTGCATATAGATTAGTCAGATCTGTAAAATGGATGTGCACACAACACTGGTTATGGAACAAGGCTAAAGTCCAGAGATAGATGAACAACCAGGACTTTCTACTGGAGTTTACAGCCGGTGAACGCAAAGAGGAAGTAGATGATGAGAACAGCAGGCTGCAAAAAAAAGAGGCCAGCTAAGAAAGAGATGGGGGGAAGGGGTAAGAGAGACAATACAGAAATGCAGTATGATATTAACAAAAGCTACACAACTAGCAAAAGACAGGATACTATATCCAATTCCCCTCTGCGATGCTTTATGGCATAAGCAGTAGTACAAAAGAGACTAAGAAAAGCTAAATTGGAGAATGTGGCTGCAGAAAGTTTGCAGAGAAAAGAAATTAGGCACAAGGGAGAAGATGTAGACTTTGGTGCTTGACATTCTGGCTCAGAAATTATAGACAATTTATGTAATAGAAAAATGGGCAGACCTGACCACAAATGCAATGAGACAAAATTTCAATCATAAAACATTCTTGGTTTTAAAAATAAGAAAGTAAAAAAAAAAATTAAAGTGAAGCTATTGTTTAATTTTTCGATTTAATAAAAAAAAATAGTATTATCATCTAAATACAGGTACATTATGTGATTTTAAAAAAAAACTATTTCTTTTTTCTCCTATATTTTTCTTTTTTTTTCTCCTCTTTCTCTTGTCTTCCTCCTATTCTTATTCTTGTCATCATCATCATCATCTCCTCCTCTTTCATTCATGCTTTCTCAGACTGTTCTACATCAGAGGGGTGTTACCTTGTCTTGCCTCCAATTACATCACTGCGGATGTTATATGTTCTATACTACACGATGACACAGCTTATTTCTTGATTCATATTTTTAGATCAGTCTGCACTCAGGTTATGTGGTCAAAATCCTGCTGCCATCAGAAACATGTCTAGCCACTACACTATGGTGACCACCGTTTTTGGTGTTAACATTTTCATTACCAGAGAACAGTTAATTCTAAATCCACATATGATGCATTCCTTGGCACTCAAAGAGTTAAACTATAGTTTTAATTGCGTGACAGGATATCTGTGGTGGAGCCAGGCTGTATGCTGAACTAGTGCATGATAAGCTTACAGATAAAGGTTACTATGATGATGATGGGCAGTTTGATATATCAGAAGAGGTAAGAATGTTATTGTCTTATAATATCCACATTATTGTATGTGGTCAGATATGTGGAAGATGCTTCTGCCTATGAAATGTTGATAAACTGAACACAAATTTCACTTAACTACTTCAAGGCACAACCAAGAAACTCTAGATCGTATAATAACCAAGAGAAGGTGAAAATGGCTTGGCAATGCTATGACAGTGAATCCTGCCAGAACAGCTCTCACATGAATACCAGAGGGAAAGAGAAAAAAGGTGCACCACAAAAACAACATGGAGATGAACGATGAAAAGTGACCTGAGTGCAGCATCTTTGACATGGAAAACTGCACTGACTGCATAGGACAGAAAAGCATGGAAAGTCCTCTCTGAAACCTGATATGCCATTAGGCATAAGGAGAATAGATGATGATAATGATGAACACAAATTTGTGTCCAATTCTTCATTGTTTTTTGCAAAGAGTTCATAATTTCTCATGATATCTCTACACCCTGCGTAATCTAATTGTTGTCTTACCATTCAGGTTACTTATCATTAAGAAGATTTTGCCATTTAAGTGATGTTTTTAGAAAGAATGTAATGTCATTTAATTTTGCTTGATTATTTCACTTGTCTCTGTTTTTTCAAACCACATCTCTGTTTAGGGTTGGACAGCTTGCCTCACACCCAACCTTCCTCCTTTCTCATCCGGGCGTGGCAATGGCAGAGATTTTCTTGACATTTAACCTCCCATTTAAACTTGTCTTTTTCATGTTTGCCTTAGATCCTTCTGTCCAGTATGTTTTTCGACAGTTTTATTTCCTTTTAGGGCCAAAAATGTCACTATTGATTTACCGAGCCTGTTCAGTCATTCTTTTTTTTTAAATTCCCAATTTAAGACTTCGTTATTTGTTATAACTCTGACTTTTTTCCTCCAGCATAATTTTTAGACAAATGTTATGTAATTTAAAATGACAGAATTCCTGTGTGGGTTCTGGGGCCCCATTGTGGAGAAAACAAGAATAGACCCACTGCCTGCCCAAAAGCATGCCATAAGATTCGACTAATTGGGTTCTTCCTCCGAAGTCGGAGTACATCTGCCTGAGAGGCAAGGAACCTACAGTCTGCATGCAAATGAGTCAGAACTGTGAAAAGAGATATGCACACAACACTCATTTTCTGGAATAGGACTGGAGTCCAAAAGTGGACAAACATCCATAACTTTTTGCTAGAGTTTACAGCCAATGAATGCAAAGAAAAAGAAGTATATGACAGACAATTTCATTAGTCTATGTGTTATTTCTTATTTCTCTCAGCTTCCTTCTTTAAAGCCCCTCTTTGTTTGGTTTTTAATTGTTTTTTTCTTTGTTTTTGTCTCTGGGAAATACCACCTATTATTCTGTATATCTGTATCTGCTTCGAGAAATCAATTTCCTAGATGACTGTTCATTGGCCAGGTCTCTCCCCATAGAGAATGGTTTAGTACACAACCCCCCCCCCCCCCCCGACCCCCGTCCCCCCTGTGGGATCCATGGCATCGTTTTCAACATGTAGTGCATTGCTTGAAACTGATTAAGTTAAGTGGGACCAACAAATTCATGATGCGCTGCATGGGAGAGATTAGGTCAAGTCTTCATCTTTTTCTGTAATTTCCATTAAAATAGAGGTGGGTACTTTGTGTTGTGGTTTAGAGCTAAGTTGCAATATATGCACTTTTTGTTTTACTCTAGCATTTCAACCAACCCCAAATTAGTCGCCCTTTATGATATGCTTGTTGCTATGGGGATGGGGAAGGTGTGGTCTGCTCACTACACCCCACCCCTTTTCCAACAACACCAGCTGGGGCCTTGGAAACAAACTTGGGGAAATAAATTACGTATTCATTAGATTAGGATTTGTGCTGCACTGCTAGCCTCTGATGAAGTTACGTCACAGTTCTTGTTTCAGCTGTGCATCACAATCAACAACATTGAACAAGTGCGGCGGTCCCTAAAGCCTTTACCCACCCTGCTAGATTTTAATGAAATTCAACAAGCTGTTGAACTTGCTAAAGATGACCCCCACCCACCAAAGGAAGTCACAACGGGACTCTTAGGCAAAGCTTCTCTGCAAGGCCTGATCAAACAGGCGGACGAGGAAATGGTTGCCCAGATTCGCCAGGTTGTGGACAGACTTGCAGATAAGGTTAGTGTTATTTGTGATTAAGATTCCTTGTTAGTGAATTAAGATTTGTCCTACCAATGACGTAATAGGGGTCATGTTTGCCTCACGCTCTGAAGGTCGGGGGTTCTATTTCACATTATTCAGATAACAAATGCAGTTTCTACAGACTCCTAAGGATTGTTGTTCATGCTCTGTGCGAATATGTCTGCAGGTTGCCAGCTGTTCTGCGGAGAGAGACTGAGCTATACGGGATAAAACCTGATGCAGTGAAGTCGATCCTCTCGACCTCACTTTTCTTTAGTTAAGGAGGAAAAGACGCTGTCGTTGGATAGGACACACATTGAGAAAACCAGAGAACAGCATAACTAGAATGTCTTTGCATTGGAAGCCACAGGGGCAAAGGAATAAAGGGAGGCCAAAAAACAAAAACAGCGAGAAGAGACCTGGAGAATGAAGTTAGACAGATGGAAAGGACATGGGGAGAACTCCATGTGATAGCGAAGGATGAAACAACTTGACGTGAGTTGGTTGAGGGCCTATGCTCCATTGGGGGCTAGAAAGGCAGAAGAAGATCTGCAGGAAGCGAGATGTTCTGCGGAGAGAGAGACTGAGCTGTATGGGATAAAGCCTGGTGCAGTGAAGTCGATCCTTTCGACCTAACTTTTCTTGAGTTTAGGAGAAATTAAACAGGAACTGCATAATACTTTCTCTTAGCCTTTATAGAATTAGTCTGTCTGTGGCTTAGGAATTATGAGCACAGTTTCATAAAACACATTAGGTTTGTGATTTGTTCATAGGCTATTTTGCATTCATTTTCTCAATGAATTCAGAAGGGATGGTAAACTTCTCCACTGCCTGTTTTACCGCCTGTGGGCATCCATGCAGTTTATCCTCATCAGGTTGCTACTTAAAGGTCTAACATCTTAGGAATAGAAAATCTCATTCTGGATGGCAGACCAGAAGGGCGTTTTCAGATATTCTGTTTAGCTTCACTGCTTCTGATTAGGTTCTCTCTGTTGACGTTTCTACCATCTATCGCGAGACTTGGGACATTTCCTCTAACAATCCTGTTGTCTAGAGAACACCACAAAACAGATGCTTTTTCAGGTGAAGAACAACCCTCATTTCTGTACACCACTCAGTCACTTTGTCTACTATCGCTTATGGCTCCCGTACTGTTTGTTCCCTCTCTTCCCCCGCCTTTATGCAAGTATATCATCTGCAAAAGTCAGTATCTTTCCAACTCCTGATGCTTCTAGGCGACCCATCTGCTGTAATATTGGAACCTCGCCTAGTTAACTAACTGTCAGGATTACTTTTGAGTGCCATTTATTTTGTAAAAATATGGAGCATACTGTATATTTAATATACCACAGAGACAAGAAAACAAACCCTTTACTTGCATGTATAAAATAAATCTAGGATCTGACATAAACTTGAATCACAATTATCTAGTGTAAAAATTAATTTCTCATTATGTGGTGTCTGCGTAGAATACATATAATTAAATGGTATGATTTGAGTTTTGGCAGAGAACTAAACAAATGCCAGTGAATCAAGAAGTGAAGAAAAGATGGTGGATGGGACATACTTTGAGAAAACCTGAGAACACTATAACTAGAATATCTTTACACTGGAACTGACAGAGTCGTTGAAATAAGGGCATACCAAAAAAAAAATATGAGTTAAAATGGCTGAGTTGCCCGAGGGCCTGTGCTCCTTGGGGGGGGGGGGGGGGGTGGGTGGATGGATCAAGGGCAAAACTAAAAGTAAAGGTCCCTTTTCCTCGATTTCATGCGTATTGGGCATATCAGGCTAGACCTATATTTTTTTAGACCAATCTAAACTCGGCGGGTGATATGGTCAACATCACATCGGCCGCCTTTACTACCCAGGACAATACTCAAAGCTGGCTGGACCTGGGAGCTAAAGTATTTTTTTGGTAACCCGACTCTGAATCACAGTCAAACGCATAGCTGCTACACCACAGCGGCTCCTGAAAGGCACGAACAACAAATAATTTAAAGTTTACAAGTTCTGAAAAAAATAAATCAATCTTGTATTGATATATTAGCGCTATGACAGACTATATATGTCCCATTTTTTGTTTGTCTTCTTATGAAGCTGGCAGTTCTATTGTCCATTTTCTTTCGATTCTGCTTTTCTTGCAGGGCATGCTTTGCTGTTCCACCGTCTGTCCTCTTGTTAGGCTGATAGTTATTAAGACATATTCCACTATTTGTCCTGGTTAAGCTGATAGTTATTAGGACATATTCCACTTTTTGTCCTATTGTTATGTTGATAGTTATTCTGATATATTCTTCTGCTTATTCCTTTTCAAAGGTGCCAGTTACTAAGACATGTTGCACTGTATATTTCTTTCTAGTAAAATTTAGAACTGGTGGAATTGTCCCACTGTTTGAGCTTTCTTGGGTCAGTTGTAGATCACATGGTGCTCTGTTTGAACTGCACTGTTTGTCCTCTAGGGGAACCCCAGTTTTAGAGCACATGCTCCACTGTGTGTTTGTCTTCTCTTGAGAACTGAGTCTTGGAGAACATCCTCCACTGTTTATCTGTCCTATCACTGAGCAGTGCGCCTACGACCACATGCTCCACTGCCTGTCCTGTCTGTGAGAAAACATTCCTGGTGCACATGCTCTGCTGTTTGTTCTGTCAGTGAGAAAACATTCCTGGTGCACATAGTCTACTGTTTGTCTTGTCTGTGTGAAAACATAGCTGGAACACATGCTCTACTGTTTGTCTTGTCTGTGAGAAAACATTCCTGGTGCACATAGTCTACTGTTTGTCTTGTCTGTGTGAAAACATAGCTGGAACACATGCTCTACTGTTTGTCCTGTCAGTGAGAAAACATTCCTGGTGCACATAGTCTACTGTTTGTCTTGTCTGTGTGAAAACATAGCTGGAACACATGCTCTACTGTTTGTCCTGTCAGTGAGAAAACATTCCTGGTGCACATAGTCTACAGTTTGTTCTGTCTGTTAGAAAACATTCTTGGAGCACATGCTCTACTGTTTGTCCTACCTGTTAGAAAACATTCCTGGAGCACATGCTCTACTGTTTGTTCTGTCTGTTAGAAAACATTCCTGGAGCACATGCTCTACTGTTTGTCCTACCTGTTAGAAAACATTCCTGGAGCACATGCTCTACTGTTTGTTCTGTCTGTTAGAAAACATTCCTGGAGCACATGCTTTACTGTTTGTTCTGTCTGTTAGAAAACTTCCTGGAGCACATGTTCCACTGTTTGTTCTGTCTGTTAGAAAACATTCTTGGAGCACATGCTCTACTGTTTGTTCTGTCTGTTAGAAAACATTCCTGGAGCACATGCTCTACTGTTTGTCCTGTCTGTTAGAAAACATTCCTGGAGCACATGCTCTACTGTTTGTCCTGTCTGTTAGAAAACATTCCTGGAGCACATGCTCTACTGTTTGTTCTGTCTGTTAGAAAACATTCCTGGAGCACATGCTCTACTGTTTGTTCTGTCTGTTAGAAAACATTCTTGGAGCACATGCTCTACTGTTTGTCCTACCTGTTAGAAAACATTCCTGGAGCACATGCTCTACTGTTTGTCCTGTCTGTTAGAAAACATTCCTGGAGCACATGCTCTACTGTTTGTTCTGTCTGTTAGAAAACATTCCTGGAGCACATGCTCTACTGTTTGTCCTGTCTGTTAGAAAACATTCCTGGAGCACATGCTCTACTGTTTGTCCTGTCTGTAAGAAAACATTCCTGGAGCACATGCTCTACTGTTTGTTCTGTCTGTTAGAAAACATTCCTGGAGCACATGCTCTACTGTTTGTTCTGTCTGTTAGAAAACATTCCTGGAGCACATGTTCCACTGTTTGTTCTGTCAGTGAGAAAACATTCCTGGAGCACATGCTCTACTGTTTGTTCTGTCTGTTAGAAAACATTCCTGGAGCACATGTTCCACTGTTTGTTCTGTCAGTGAGAAAACATAGCTGGACCACATGCTCTACTGTTTGTCCTACCTGTTAGAAAACATTCCTGGAGCACATGCTCTACTGTTTGTCCTGTCTGTTAGAAAACATTCCTGGAGCACATGCTCTACTGTTTGTTCTGTCTGTTAGAAAACATTCCTGGAGCACATGCTCTACTGTTTGTCCTGTCTGTTAGAAAACATTCCTGGAGCACATGCTCTACTGTTTGTCCTGTCTGTAAGAAAACATTCCTGGAGCACATGCTCTACTGTTTGTTCTGTCTGTTAGAAAACATTCCTGGAGCACATGCTCTACTGTTTGTTCTGTCTGTTAGAAAACATTCCTGGAGCACATGTTCCACTGTTTGTTCTGTCAGTGAGAAAACATTCCTGGAGCACATGCTCTACTGTTTGTTCTGTCTGTTAGAAAACATTCCTGGAGCACATGTTCCACTGTTTGTTCTGTCAGTGAGAAAACATAGCTGGAACACATGCTCTACTGTTTGTTCTGTCTGTGAGAAAACATTCCTGGAGAACATGTTCCACTGTTTGTTCTGTTAATGCAAAAACATTCCTGGAGCACGTGCTCTACTGTTTGTTCTGTCTGTGAGTAAACATTCCTGGATCACATGCTCCACTGTTTCACATTTTGTACTTTCTCTCTCTGTCACTCTCTCTATCTATCTCTCTCTCTCTCTCTCTCATTTTTACTGCATTTCTCTAACGTTATATAATCTAACTGCATCCCTCCCACTATAAACCCCATCATACTGTATCTCTCTAGCTCTTTACATTCTCTTACTGATCTATATAACAGTCTGTACTCTGTACTTTCTCTCTCAGTCTCCTTCTCAATCTCTCTCACTCTTTTTCACTCTCTCTCTCATTCTCTCTCAATATCTCTGATTCTCCCACTCTTTTTCACTCTCTTTTCCTCTCTCTCTCTTATTGTAAACGTTGCACTGCTGGCCCAAAGGTCTTAGTGTCAAATTCACACAGGGAGGATTTGGAAAGAAACTTTTCCTGGGCTCCCAGGTTGATCTAGTCTAAATGGGTGCTGGAAAATATCATGGTTTGTAAAGGTACATCGCTACATCGGTCCTATTCACATTTCCCAACCCAGCTACACACTGGCTGACCTTTCATCCATGCTTTCTCAGACTGTTCTACATCCGATGGTTGTCATAACCCCCCCCCCCCCCCCCCCCCCTCTCCCAACAGCCTGAGCCTAGGTCCCACAAGAGACTCTTTTCAAAGAAAACAGTACAACTTGACACCCTTCTCACCTAGACCAGACAAAGAAAGTGTGTAGATGGGCCGGAAAACATAAATAGAACCAACAATTTTAATGCTTTTTTCCCCCCATGACAGATGCGACCTGACATCAAGAAGGATGTCTTCCATTTAAACTGGGCTCCAGAATCTTTGCCCGCAGAAGAGGTATGATGAGAAATGATAATATACCTTTAAAAAGTTTGTTGTGGATCCTTTACAGGACGTTGTTAAACCAGTCCTGGCAAATTTTTAATTCGGTTTTACTAAGCAATTTTATGTTCAGTAGTTTGCCATTGCTACTGAATCGTCAATGCTCTGTGCCGTTGTCGATATCAGTGCAAAGCGATTTTCTACCAAATCAGCTACAGTTGAAATCAAACTCGGTATTTTGGAACGATGAATCATGTTTGCAGTGCAAGCTACAGTTTTACTGTACATGCCATAGACATTTATTTAAACTTAGTTAACAGATTCAGTACATGAGTTCCTTACTAAATATACACTCATACTGTTGTCGTGGTCTGCACATTGAAGAACACTGGCTCATAAACAGCATTGTTGGCACCTTTCCATCTTTTTGAACGAAAGTGTTTTCTTGTGCTACAAGATTGCATGAGAATCTTAGTGCCTGATGATGGCAAGAGTGACTAGCAAGACCTGCTACGGAGGGAATAATTGCACATGGGTCAAGAGATGAATGTCCGAAAAAGAAGCATGTTATAAACATGAAAGGGCAACAGCGGTTTTTAAATATCACACACCAAGTGTTGGAACACATTCGTCTACTTCTTGTGTGGTCTCACTGATACCAGGTTGTAGCCCAGTGTCCTGGTTTTCTGTATGTGGCTAGCACTTTTTCCGGTGGCTTGCATGATGGATTTATTTTATCTTTTTGCAGGTTTCAGCTACACCATGGATCCATCTCTTTCTTGGTCTTCCCTTCACCTTCCTCCCTGTAAAAAAGTCTCAAATGCAGTTTGGTCTGGCCTCATTCTCACTAGATGGCTGAACCATTTCATCTGTCTTTGTCTGTCATTACAATTCAGACACGGTCTTATTCCAGCCTTTTCTCTAATGCTGGTATTCGTAACCTTGCCCCTTCTTGTGTTGTTCGTGATCTATTTAATGTCAATGTTTCGCACTGACAACATAAAGTAGGGATGATGATGCTATTAATCATTTGCCATTTTGCTGGAAGGGAGACATTTGGGTGTCTAAGCAGTGGGCCTAGCTGGTAGGTGACCAAATTTGCCTTTTGTACTCTGGCTTCCATCTTTCTATCGAATCTGCCATTTTCTGCATATATGGTGCCTAGATATTTAAATTCTCATATTTGTTTAATTATAGTACCATTAACGTGAACGTTTATGTTATGTTTCCTGCCTATTCTGGTTACCTCCGTTTTCGCGGTGTTTATTTTCGTATCATACTTTGTGCGAGTTTGATATAAGGTGTAGTACAATGTTGTAAATTCTGCTCTTTGTAGTGAATTAGACACTGATCATCTGCAAAATAAAGTTCATTGATTTCGTTCATGTTTATACTTGCCTTCTATGTAATTCTACCCATGTTAAGTAACGAAGAGCAATGTTGAGAGAAAACATTCCTGTCTGTCACATAATGAGATGGAGAATCAATCTATCTCTTCTGTTGTTCTAATAGTGCATAATCTTGATAAAGAGCCATTAGAATTTTCAATTTTTCGAATCCGTTGACTCGATCTAACGCCTTCTCTTGATCCATAAATATAAGGTGTGACAATCAGACGTTTATCGTATTTCAAATCATCATATCTTAAGAAAAGTTTCTCTCATACGATTTTTATTCTTGCTGTATCTGCCTCTAAAGATGATCTTTCTTAGTTTCTCTTTCTGACTCAGTTTAATTTGTCCATTATAGCAAGGTTGTCACTCTCAGTAATTTCTCCTTTTATAATGCATCTCTAGCTCTACATTTCTATCCAACTATATATCTATCTTTTCACATTTCCTTTTACTTGATAACTTTTTCTGTATACTCTCTCTTATTTTATTTCTCTCACTCTCTCTTATTTTTCTCCTGTACTGTTAATTAGTTCCACCAATGAACGTAAAATTGTGACAACAGAGATGAAATGCCTTGGAAGAGCTGTAGGAGTTTCAAGGAAAGACAGAATACGAAATCATGAAATCAGACGAATGCTAGGAACAAAGCCAGTCTTACAGGCCATCAAAGAACAACAAATAAAGTGGTCTGGACACCTAACAAAAATGCCCTGGTACTATCCACCACAGCGAGCCATACTAAAACGTTACAACGGGTATAAAGCGAGTGGAAGACCTCGGAAAATATAGAGTGATGGCATTAAGAACAGCCTTACAGAAATGAACATCAGTCTTAATAGTGCTCTTGACAGAGCTCATTAATGAACGTTACATCTCCCCCTGACACTTCGATGAGGTACAAGGTGGAAGAGAAGAAGAAGAAGAACTGTTAATTAGTCTCCCTTTCTATGTTCTGCTCTGTCTTTTTGTCTCTCTCTCTCTCTCTCTCTCTCTCTCTCTCTCTCCCCTCTCTCTCTCCCCTCTCTCTCTCCCTCTCTCTCTCTCTCTCTCTCTCTCTCTCTCTCTCTCTCTCTCTCTCTCTCTCTCTCTCTCTCTCTCTCTCTCTCTCTCTCTCTCTCTTGCTATCATTCTGATCTCTGAAACTGTATCTCTTTCACAACATATAATTTATCTTTTTATTTAACTGCTTGAGTTTCTTACTTCATCTCTCTCACTATAAGTTCTCTCCTATTGTAACTCTGTCACTGCTAATAATTTCTTCTAAAGTATCTCTGCAACTCTCTTAACTTCTCTCTTCTTATTTCTCTCTCACTCTCTATACTCTTTTCTTACCCTATTACTTTCACTTTTTCTAATGATCTCTTCCACACTCTACTCTCTTGCTGTATTTCTAGCACACCATATTCTCTGTGTGTGTCTTTCTCTTACCTTCTATCCCTGTATGCTCCCTCTTACTGTATCTCTATTATACTCTATTACTTTTTTCTCTCTGAGAATTCTTTTGAAATTAAGATCATACTTTAACATTATATGCATACAATGGGGGTCCCCTTGACGTTGTTGTCAATTCGTTTGCCTCATGCTCTACGGGTTGTGTGTTCGATGGTGCAATTTTCATGGCGATCCCTGGAGCTATGGAGTTTGTGCTTTGTTCAACAATCTCAGCAGCCAGCTAGCTGTCCTGCAGAAGTGTCTTAGTTATGTGGGATAAAATCCAGTGTAATGACATTGATCCTCTGAACTTTCACTTCGACTTCAAAAATCCAGTTATGAGTTAAAAACTGACATTATAGCACTCAAGACATTCTCACAAGCGCTTGGTCACCATCTTCAGCAGCAAGCACGGATGGTACAAGTAACAATCTGACTGGATGTCCGTCTCAACATTCCCTGAGTGTTGAGCTGTTGGTCAGATCCCATGGTCACTTATAGCTGTACCATTCTCATCAGACTGTGATGATCTATTTGTGCCTCTGCAGTATTTACTAAACGTGCAGTCTTGTACATGATTCCTATAAATAAACAGAGAGGGGAACCATTTGAGGCCGTTAAATATTATGAATTAATTGAGTAACAGAAAGTATTGTGAACGGCACTCATAGAAAGAAGTAGAAAGATAGAAGAACACACTAGACAACATAAAAATCGAAAGCTATAGTTACCGTGCCGGGAATTGAACCTGTCACCTCCAGACGGCGTCTGCGCCTCGCCATGAATACATGTATCTTAGTGCACTTGTATTCATGGCGAGGCGCAGACGCCGTCTGGAGGTGACAGGTTCAATTCCCGGCACGGTAACTATAGCTTTCGATTTTTATGTTGTCTAGTGTGTTCTTCTATCTTTCTACTTCTTTCTATGAGTGCCGTTCACAATACTTTCTGTTACTCAATTAATTCGCAGTCTTGTACATGACAGTTTTCTATAACCTCAGGCTGTTGGAGATCTATTGGAGTATCTGGACAACAACTTGAATGCACTCAACAGTCACCTCTTGAAAGCCAACTTTGATCGAATCTTGTCATCCATCTGGGTAGAAGTGCTAGAAGAATTTAAAGAGGTACTAGACACCGAGGAAATGGTAAGCCATCTACTGTTTAGAGGACATGACAAAAGCAATAACAATCCTAATTTGAAAAATAATATTCCCTGTTTGGCTTCCAGTGTCTCATTTTGGGGGGAAAGAAATCCCCCCCCCCCCCCCCCCCCCCTCATTTCTGCTTTTTCCACAATAACGTTTATCTAAAAGGCAACCAGGCAGGGTTTTTACTTCAAGGTCAAAGTGCATCAGCCGTAGAGGCGAGGAACAAACAGTCTGTGAAAGCCTAGTCTGTGAAATGGATGTGCTTGCAAAATTTGAGATCTTGAACAAACTTTAGTCCAGAAGTGGATAAACAATATGAACGTTCCGATGGAGTTTACAATCGGTGAATGCAAAGAAGAAGAAGATGATGATGATGAAGAAGAAAAAGAAAAAGAAGAAGAAAAAGAAGAAGAAGAAGAAGAAGAAGAAGAAGAAGAAGAAGAAGAAGAAGAAGAAGAAGAAGAAGAAGAAGAAGAAGAAGAAGAAGAAGAAGAAGAAGAAGAAGAAGAAGAAGAAGAAGATGAAGAAGAAAGAGAAAAAGAAAAGAAGAAGAGGAAGAGGAAGAAGACGAAGACAAAAAAGAAGAAGAAGAAGAAACAGCATTAGCAGCAGAAGCAAAAGCCGCAGCAGCAGAAGAAGTAGAAGGAGAAGATAATATAAAGAAACATAAAATCTGAAGCAATTTAAGTATGCAATGCCTGTGTATGTTCACTGATAGAAAAGATAATGGTTATAATTACATTCAAAGAAATTTTCAATCTCATAAAATAAACATGAATATAATGTAATGTCATAGGAAGTAAAGAAGGCTTATCTGATACTGAGCACACAATCCATCAATGTTGATGGAATAATAAAAACAGGGAGCATACACTGTATGCCTAGAAAATGAGACTTTCTTTCTCATTCTGGTGTTGTTTGTTTGTATGCATGTGAGAGGGAGTGACTGAGTGAGTGAGTGGTTAGGTGAGTGAGTGAGGAAATAATAGAATGAGTGAATGAGTGAGTAATTTAATGAATGAGTAGTTAGGTGAGGGATTGAGTGAGTGAGTGAGTATTTGACTGAGTGAGTAGTTAACTGAGTGAGTGAGTGATTGAGTACATTTTATAACTGAATTTTTTAGTGTGACTCTCAAATGTCTTAATTTTTTTTTTTTTTAATTGTTCATCAAAAATAAAAGTACTTGCATTCAGAACCTTCTTGTGTACAACCACAGAATGTTTCAAACTATGAGTCTTCTAGTCGAGTGAATGAGAGTTACTGAGTGAATTTAGTTTGACAGTCAGTTTATCACTGCTACTCACATACAAATGTGTTCACATACAGCGTCCTCCAGTGTTCTACCAGCGTATGTTTCAAGCTTTAAGTCTTCTAGTAGACTTCATGTATGCAAATGGAAATGGCCTAGAAATGGAAGCCATACTTATCAAGCCTTTTGAGGTGAGCTTTGAATATGTTGTTACATGTTTTAGATTTGGTTAATAATTGATTTTAATCACAGGTTTTTTTAAACAGTAGCATAATTATTTTGAACCGCGGCATCCGTGGCTTGAGCCTTGCCAGTCGGACTCGTAATTCCAACGTGTTGCCATAAAAACCCACAGCTGGCTGCGTGGATTTTTATCATGGTATGGGGCGTCGCAAGTTGACTCAGCCTTAAATGGGTACCAGGATGTATGCCCTGGAAAATAAAAGACGGCCGGCGTAATGCTGACCACATCACCCACCTAGTGCCGATTGGTCTGTAAAATTATGGGTGCTCTTCCCAGGTGCCTGATGCGCCTAAAGGCGTAAAAAGGGATCTTAACGTTTTATTTGTTTTTAATTATCTTGAAACAGGTAATGTGGTGTTATGTTATTATTAATATTGTGTTATATTATAAGAAGGAATGGGCTCAAGAACTTGGTAGCCTACTATCAGGACTAATGGGAAGAAAGCAAGAGAAAAAAGTCAAAGAGACAAACACCTGGGCGGCCTGAGGCGAGACAAAAAATTGAACTGATCTGTGATTCTGGTGGTCGTGTGTGCTAGCTTGACTTGTTTAGACTAGTCGGCACTCAGCATGCAATGTGGGCCAATTTACGAGCACACGTTCACAGTGGAACTATGTACCTATGCAATGAGGTACTCAGCCCAGCGTGTCTAAACAAAGGTGCTGATAGTCATCACCAAATTGTCTATTACAGTAGAACTGAATCAGAATGCCTTTATAATGAGTGCCAGTACTGCATACCATTTTGTACAGCATAGACCAGTGATTCCCATCTGTGTGTGTGTGCGTGTGCGTGTGCGTGAGTGCGTGCATTCGAAAGTGTGTGCCATGCCTCACCTAAACCTTTCTAAAATGCCTTACCCCCTATGTAACTTAAACTCTGGACGAGTCCATTTTCTTATTGCCCCTCTTAACAATCAAATTGACACCCCCCCCCACCCCCCTTTCCCTTTCCACCCCCAAATCAAATTGCCCCTCTGTGGGGCATGGTACCCACCAACTGGAAACACTAGCATAGACCCATGCCAATCCTGCCCGGCCATCTCTGACAGCATGTATGATGATAGTTCATGGTGTTACCATCCTTTACTTTCCTTTCAGGCACTATTAAAGCAGGGCAAAATATTCTACAGCAGCGGCCAGACGTTTCAGAGCTTCTAGTAAATAACTGATTTTTCCCCACGGTGACGGAGTATTCAATCCACTGCTGTTTGAGGGTCCACTTGAGACAAACATTGCAGCCATCTTTCTGTTTATTACAGTGGTTCTCAACCTATGGGTCCCTACCCTTTTTTTTTTTTTTTTTTAGGTCGAACGATCCTTTCACAGAGGTCACCAAAGACCATCGCAAAACATACATTTACTGAAGTTAGTAGCGATGAAAATAATGGTATAATTGTGGGTTGCCACAACACGAGGAACTGTATTACAGGTTGCAGCATTAGTTAGGTTAAGAACCAGTGGTTTACAAGGTGGTCTGAAACTTTTTCACACCGTTGTACTATTCCACCATAATTCGGAATGTTCTGTCTCATCTACTGCTTATTTCTTTGTTTTGTAGATGTTTTCAGTGACTGCTATTTTTTTTTAAAAACAATTAAACTAGAAATCTAAACGAGATTGCGTAGTGAGAATTAGCTCCCGTTGTGTAGCAGCAGATTCTCGTCTGCGAATCTGAAGATCATGGCTGTAGCCCTTGAAGGTGGCTTAAATGTCCTGTAATTAACATGTTTGGCGGCTAAAATGTCTATTAATGGACATGTTTGGTGGCTAAAATGTCCAGTAGTAAACATGTTTGGTGGCTAAAATATCCAACAATAAACATGTTTGGTTGCTAAAATATCCAATAATAAACATGTTATGTGGCAAAAAATCCAGCAATAAAAAATGTTTGGTAGTCTAAATGTCCAGTAATTAACATGTTTGGTGGCTAAAATGTCCAGTAATAAACATGTTTGGTGGCTAAAATGTCCAGTAATAAAAATGTTTGGTAGCTAAAATATCCAGTAATTAACATGTTTGGGAGCTAAAATGTCCAGTAATTAACATGTTTGGTAGCTTAAATATCCAGTAATAGACATGTTTGGTGGCTAAAATGTCCAGTAATTAACATGTTTGGTAGCTTAAATATCCAGTAATAGACATGTTTGGTGGCTAAAATGTCCAGTAATAAACATGTTTTGTGGCTAAAATGTCCAGTAATAAACATGTTTGATGGCTAAAATGTCCAATAAATGTCTTAAATAGACAGTAATAAACATCATATCATGCCCACTGTTTTTCTTGTTTAGAATCTTCGCAAAGAGTTGAGCATGCACAAAATGGACACACTGTCACTAATAGAGATATTCTACATGGAGAAAAATGAGATGCAGGTAAGACAGAAAATATCTTTTATAAATGTGAGCCAAAATGTATGAGTTATTGTGTGTATATTTGTGAGAATCAATCTGCAATCTTGTCCCTAGTATGAATTTCATTGTCTGTTGTAATTCGCTCAGCAACCCGTAAACTTCGGCTTGCACCGGTGTTGTTGTTTTTGTTTTTTTGCCAAAGGTTGTGCCTTGATATGTTGTATTTGGGACAGTCTTGGAGGACGTGACCTGTTGTCCCAGGTGCCAGTCCACATGCACACATGGCTGATTCGCCAATCTTAAATTGTGTGTACATGTGGCTACGAAGTCGATTGTGTCCTGTTCTAAGGCGTAGAATAATAACTTGCTCTAGTCTGTCCATAATGTGATAATCGTTTTGTGCCGGTTCTGATTTCTTTCTGGTTGATTTGATTATTCTCTTTTTCTGTTGATAAAAGACTGCTATGTAAGGTTTTTTTTCTCATTTGTCTTCCTCGAGCTAATTTATCGGTTATTATAAAAATGTAAAACATAACATTTTCAACATCATCATCATGTATCGGCCCTTTGCAGAATGCTGCTCTATCACCGTCTGCATGAAAAAAAAAACTTTCTTGCCAGCTCTTTTACTTCCTGCACTTTCATACCCAGGGCGTCACTTTTATCTTCTGCCAGTCTTCATGCTGGTCAGCACTGCCCTTCCTTCCTGGCGCCATGCCTTTTGCAGTGGATATTTTTTTTTTCTCCCTAATCCACCATGTCATTTGATATGGCCAAAATGTTTTAGTTTCTGGGACAAGATGCTGTTTATTAGCCAATCTTTCTTGATGTTCAGATCTTTTTCAGCATGGAATTTAACGCATACAGGTGAAAACTCAAATTATATTATGGTGAACTGCTAAGAAAAACGTTTACATACCTTATATATTCCTTAAGAATACATGAAGACGTAAATAATAGTTGTCTTTATAGTTTTTAAAGTCTGAAGAGAACGGTGCAGCAAGGGTCACCAGGGTGATCTGGCTGACAATACACACTCAGAGAGGAAAGGCAAGATGGACATAACATCAAACTGCTACTGCCATCGTCAGAATTAGAATTCTTTACTGATTGTTGAAGATGAGGATGGAGTGGTTATAGGAATATTAAAAGCACTGTGATTTTAGTCATTGACTAACTCAACTCAAAGAAGTCATTGTTAACTCTTTCAGTCCAAGCAGTGTGTTTGTAGTACTGGCTCCCCTTATGAAACCCAACGATCGTGTTGTTTGTGTTTGTTTGTTTTTTTTTTTTCACACTTATGGTATATTTCAGTTTTAGAAGAAAAAAACTGGAACTTCTGAACAGAATTGCCACTGAAAAATTGTTAGAAAATTGTGGACCAAGAAAAAGAAAAACGTCGACATCATACATTACCTGAACATTAAGGAGAATTGGCTCATAAACAGCGTCCTGTCCCGAATGCTTGGGTATTTTGGCCGTGTCAAGTATCCTAGTAGTGTGGTGAGAACATTGATGGAGGCTGAAGTTTCCAGAAAACGAGGCAGAGGCCGACCTTTGCAAACGTGGATACAGGACCTTTAAGAGACATTGGCTTTGAAAGCACACAGGGCTGAAGAATGGGCTAGAGAAAGAGAGATTTTCAAAGCGTGCGTGAAGAGAGCAACTTTCAGAATAGACCGGCTGACTGATTAATTCACTGGTTATAGTATTCTAGAGAAATATTACTTCCAGGGGGATAACTTCCATTGCTCATTCCGTTACCTCTTTATAAATATTACGCTTGTGATATTTCATTATTATCTCCTCATCATCTCTCGAACAGTCTTCTGCAACGACAGGTGTCGACCCACAGAAACAAGGGTGGGATGGGGGGCCTGAGGAGGTGGGAGCCAGAGTATAATCTTAGTTTAAGAGCATAGTAATAAAAATAATACATTGCTGGGTGCCAAATAAATGTAATGATTGTTTTAAATAATATTACATGCACAAACAAATATTTTTAAGAGCATGACGTCTACAATCACAGGCTCACACAGAAAGTACAGAATATGGAGTGCTGAATATTCGAGTGATGTATAAGTATGAGTCACACATTCTGCTGGTTGAAGGTAAATATGTTGAATATCATCGTAAACTATAGTAATAATATATTGTTCACACAAACTCACTCAAGATGAATACTCTGTTTAACATGAATATAATGTTGATCCTAGCTGCAGGGAATTATTCTAGCGATATTAAAACAATGTACCTGCACTTATTATTTTTTAAATACAATAATAATTTTTTAAGGTACAATTTTCTTGAGTGCTACGGTGTCTATATCGGTACGCAGGCCAAACAATTTCTTGAGGCCGAAGAGATGTGGTTTTACAGAAGAATTCCTAAATACTTTAGACAGCCAAAAAGAGCAACCAGAAGGTTTTGAAAGAGCCGGGAGCTAGAAGACAACTTATCACAGACATCAGAAGGAGACAGTCATCATTTTTCGACCATGTTATGAGAAGAGGAAAAATGGAACATGTTGTGACCATTGGAAATATCTGTGAAAGGAGGGAAAGAGGAAGACATTGAGAGAAGATTCTTGGCA